ATTTTAGCCACTGCTCAGGCCAGGTTACCGGCCAAGTCCTTCCTGCTGCCAGACCCAGCCAGATGGGGATAATTAGGCCTGGATTAAGTTAAAGCTTTAACTCTTTAGAAGATAGCAGCCCCTCATAGCTCCATCCCCTCTCATTTGTTTGTTTACAGGTGTTTCTGCAGCACTGGGAAATCTCACAAGCCCGATAAAAACATTTTTTGCAGATTACTCACACCCAGAGAAGCCAACAGCCAAAAAGATCTGGCACCGAGCGGCACGCCGCATCCCTCCTTCCTCCAGAGGAGACCTGCCTACAGGGGATCTCAACAAGCGCTCATTTTGGGGGGCTGCAAACCCCAGGGCCGGACTGTCCCCCTGCTCTGGGACACGGGCAGGGCCACGCCACGTCAGCAGCAGTCCCGGGGAGAAGCCAGGTTATTTTTGCAGCCAAGGATCCATTAAACACCTGACACGCTGGTCATTACCCACTCAGAAAGTGGTTTTCCCAAAGAGCTCCTTGACTCGGCCCAAAACACTCACTCACCTCTGCGTGGCTCCCACCAGCCTCATTCCCACTCGGGAGCAAATCGCTGCCACACTGGAGAGCTGGAAATTAAATAAATAGAGAAATGAAGGAAGCCCGTCCCGAGGGGCAGAGCAGGGAACCAGCCTGGCATGACCAGGCACCCCGCTGCCGCTCTACCCGTACCGCGATCTATCGCGACAGAGCTGGGGGACACATCTCACCTGTACTCAAGCTCGTCCCAGACCAGCGCCCAAGGTGCTGAGCTGCAACCGCAGCGATGGGGTACATGGTGAGGCAGGGTACAGCAGTGTCCCCAGCTGCGGAGGGACAGACAGCAGCCACCCACCCACCGACAGCCCAGACAGCGGCGAGTGGCTGACTCCCTCCAGCGGCTGCGGTCACCCAAGGAGAGAGGGTTTCCTAACTTACTCCTTCCTGGAGGAGAAACACCCAACAACAAGGGTCAGCCACAGCGCCAGGGAGAGAACCGCTGGCGCAGGCTGCTCCCCAAACCACGAGCAGCCCAGGTTACAGCCACGCCGGAGTCAGGCTCACACCACCGCGGATCACCCTCCGAGAGCCAGAGCCAACCACGGCTGGACTTCCACGGCAGAACCGCGCAGCAGAGCCCTTCGATGACAACCACCCCCGGCTCCTGTCAGCTGCGTGTGTCCAAGTCGACGCGGGCTGAGGAAAAAATCCAAGCCAAACCAACGTTTTAAATAGATATTTATTACAAAACATCCAAATACAAACTGAAAATATAAAACATTATAAAAACCGGACATGCTGTAGTATCTACACCGGACACCTGCCCAGGGTCCCTCAGAGCTCTGCAGCCCCCAGGGCTTCTTTCTGTGACCACACCTGGCTCTTGCCCGTCTCCATATAAAACAAATCCCAGGGTCCAAGGCGGCCAAGGCTTCAGGTGTAATCGCAGTCGAACACGTACTCCCTCCTCTTGAAATGCTTCTTCTTTTTAAGCTTCCCAGACCCCAAGATGCTGTAGTTATAATCGGATGTGACGTAGGGGATCTCTCCATCAACTCCTTGCTGAAAAAGAGGAAACACAAAACAAGAAACAGCTTCAGGAACTTGTCTCTTCAATGGAAGGGGAAGCACTTTCCTCTGGAGCCTGACAGAGCTGACAGCGGGAAGCAGCAAGCTGTCAACAAACCCTGCTCTGGTATCTGAAACACGAGAAGTACGCTCCCCTCTCCCTCGTTTCTATGCCTTACGGACAATTTCCTAACGAGATAACCATCTGCTATTGCCCAGACATCCCTGGGCACGCACAAGCCTCCGAAACAAGCAAATGGAAAACGTGTCAGCCAGCTCCCACCCTCTTCCTGTGCAGCTCCTACCTGGCCCACGAGAACACAGTTTGGGATAGCAATATTTCCAAGGAGCAGACAATTCACTAGCCTCAGGTTTTCCGGAGGCACTGGCGTCAGGATGTGGTAAAGCTTCTTCTCCATGTCAACCCCTCGGACAATCCCTGAAAAAGCACACAAAGGTCAGTCCGACTCCACCTGATCATTTCGGACTGTGTAACCAGACACAGGCAAAGCTCTTGTAGAACCAAGAGAAGGAGCTGAGACACAACTGAAGAAAAAGCTGGCTCGCCGCGTCCTGCTTTTCCAGTACCTCAGCACAGGTACAAACAGCTAACTGCCCAATGTTAAATCAAGTCACAGGAGGAAACTGACAGACAACTACAGGAATTTTGCATAAGCCACATGGAATCTGCTTTTGAGAATATGAATTGGAGAGCAAATAAACCATCAAGGTACTAAAGAGTGAGAGAAGCAGGTTACAAAAGGCGCCGCTCGGTGACATTCCCCACAGCTGTCACCACAGGTAATGAAAACCAAAGAACTCGAAGCCAATACATGATTATTCTTTTATCTCATCCCACTTTTCCAATTGTTTTCCAAAGAGCAGAGGCAATTCTGTCACTCTGCAACCTATCTGTCAGAACACGACAGGTGAGGAGGCAGCTGAGGGTTCCCCGGGCTGGCTCACCGAAGCCGAGGCAATCACAGACCGGTGTCTGTGTCAGCAGGACCGGCCCGTCACTTTGGCATTTGATTTCGTCCGGTATCCTGCAGAGCCCGACCCAGCTGGCGTTCACCGCGTACATGATGTTGGTGGGAGCGACGTCGGTGTGAATGACCCTGAGCGCAACAGCGTTGAAGGGAACCTGAGGGGGGAAAACGAGGAGAAAAAAAACTGTATCATGGGCTCAGCGTTAATCCAGTTTGAGCGCAGAGATAAGATAATGCAAAGCACACAAGATCTGAAAGCTCCCAGCCCACATCTACAGACAGACGTTATCTCGGTGGCAAACACAAGTTTCAGCACCAGAAAACTCTGTGCCACTCCGACACCTCAACAAAAACCTCACTCTAGATAACAGCTTTATTGAGGGTATCTTTTTGCAGATTACACAGTGTTCTTCCCTCTTCCGAAAACCATTTGCAGCACAAGCAGAACTGTCAGTTACCATGAGCCAGGCTCTCTGCAACACCTCCCAGCCCTCCAAAAATGTGCATTTACCTGGTAGGGCACAAGAGTGTGCAGGGGAAGCACTGTCCCGACGTCTGGGGACTGCAGCTGGCCCAGGTAACCCAGTATGGACATGTCACGCAAGACGCCGCTGTGTACTCGCCTGGAAAAATAACCGGATTTAGGGCATTGTTTCAACTTTAGAAAGGCATAAATTAACAAGGCTGGTGGTTTAGGTTTTTTAAAATAAAGCCTATTGGATAATAGCTAAGGAACCTCCCAGTTAGGAAAAAAAGGAGGAGTAATATTCAATGATCCCAAGTGAATGTTATGCCCAGTGTAGAAGTAAGTAACTGACAGGAGTCAATAGAGCAGAGTAGGAACAACCCTCCCCTCAAACAACACCCCCCCCCCAACCAATATACCCAGAAAACCCAAACAAACACCACCCCAACACAACACCCAAGCAAGTAAACTGCTGATCTCTGACTGATTTAATGGAGCTCTCAAGGCCAAAGCAAAGCAAGAGCCTTTACTGTCAGGACTGCACCATTTCGTTAAGGCCAGTAACCACCGCACAGCGCTGAACTCTCTACTTACGCTTCACCTGCAACCCCTGCTCGAGGGAATTCGGGATGGACATACAGCAACTTGAACTCGGGAGCTGATGCATCTCCCTCCCCTTCAGAGAGCCTCCAGCTCTCCACCTCACTCGTATCCAGCTGCTTGCACCTGGCTTGCTGTTTGCCCTTGGTGTAGAGGCCGGGAGTGAGGTGAACGTACTCCGGGGTGAGCGGAGCCATCGCCTTCCAGTCGTACACATCCATCTGAACAATGTGGCTGGGCGACAGCAGCCGAATGGTATCGATCAGCAGCAGCAACCCCTCACCTTTAGGGAGCAGAGAAAACACGATTGCTGCCGTGACATAAACAGGTCAGGACACTGTTACAGAAGACCAACACTGGCTGAAGGAGGGTAAGCCGCATTTCCTGGCTCTGGACTCTCTAGAAAGCGTGGCTGCGTACCACTACGATTATTATCTTCCTTCCACACCACCCTGACAACAGATTTATCCTGCTCACCTTTCACCCAGCCCATGGTGTTGATGATTAAAGGCACTTCCTTCTTGTAGGAGCTGAACACGTACTTCACGACATCCAAGTATCTTTCCGTGTCCTGCTCACAACTAGTCTGTCCATAATACACCATCTTATGGGGCGTTTGCTGATGAGTGAATGGTGGACCTGAAAAAAGCAAGCAGTAAACCTTCAGTGGTGTCAGCAAGTCAAATAAAAAACCTCCCATCCCTGCAGCACCCACATGCAATCCCTTACGAAATCATCTGTCCTCTTTTCACATGCTCACACGTCCTCGCACACGCTAACAGCCTGCATCTACGGAAACCTGTCTGTCACTCGCAATAGGAGTTTTGTTTGTTTGGGATTTGGTTTTGGTTTTGTTTTTAAACAACTGGTCACACATTTGTGAATTTCAAAACAGCCTTTATGACAGACTATCGAAAAAGTCAACCAGTCTGGCCATATCCTTTATAGACAACCAGTAAAGATTTTCCCAAGGAGACCTTTCAAACCTGAAAGGTTGCAAATCCACTTTGACATGCCACAGCTTGTTCCACCACCTTATAAACAACTGTCATCTTCTCTCTTTAAAACAGAATAAACAAGCAGGGAGAAGAGCTCCATGTTACTGAGCAAGATTTTCATATGGAGCTCAGACAGCCTTAGCAAGAAAACTTTTACAGCCTTTGTTTTATTTTCTATATGCACCTTTGACAGACGTGGCAACTTCCCCTAAAGTACACCCTCTACTCAGAAAGCACCTTTGGGAAATAAAAAAGGTTTCCAGCAACTGCAGAAAATGGTAAAACACATACCAAGAATTGGCTCTGTTACGTTACTTAAAGACACGCATCCGGGCGGTGTGAATTCGGTCTGACCTATGTCACATTCCATGTATTCAACCGAGGGAAGGCTGCAGTGAAAGAAGCCCCTATATTAGCATCCACTACAACAAGACACAGGACACGACCTGGAACACATTAGAAGCACAATCTGATTTTGTTCCAGGTCGTCAAAATTAAATTCTTGGACACAATTAAACCACTATTAAATTCTTGGACACAATTAAAGGTCTCTCTCCTTCCCTTACTTGAGGAGGTATGAAGTGAAAGGCTCCCCCACCACTCAGTATGAGACCACAGCAGCTCCACACCCACCCAGCTACAGCAATAATCAGAGGTGCTACCAACCAGCGTCCCACCCCTCCCATGGTAACTGGGTACCCCGAGACCAGACATTTGAGATATACAGACTTGATAATCTTTATTTGAAGCATGCAGTGGGTCAGAGGAATAAGCTTGGACACCTTGCTCTGCCAATAATCTTCAAAGACACTAACAAATTAAAACTTACTGCTGTTTGTTTTTCAAGTGTTAGAACTCCCCAGTTCCTGACTGAACCCTAAATGCTCAGTGCCCAATTAGTTCACATACTCCAAGACAGCAATTTAGTAGTGTTTCAATAGAAAGGTTTCAGTTGGCAACGTTTCTGAAAGTAATCCAAGAAAAGAATGCATATTTTCTGAATTCATTTGTTTGTTTTTAAAAGACATCCACCTTCCAGTCCTAACAGCTCTTCTAAGAATCTTGGCAGGTAGTTTTATTTTCCTTCTCTAAAAAACTATGCAGGACTTAAAAACTTGTAGAACATGAAAAGACTCACCGATTCAGTAACAGATTAATTAGGTATCTGTTAAATGTTGATTTCCCAGTGTTTTTTGGGCCACACACCAGAACCACGGGGACACCTTCATCTTCAGCTGGAAAAAACAAACATACTCTGAAATGGACGAACGTTATCAGTTACTCTGGCGTGCCCTGTTTACATAAACTTGTTAAACAAAACCCCCCTGCAAACTGTGGTCCAACTAGGATATATTTTACTTAAACAGAAAAAAAATCCATTGAAGAGAAGCACGTGAAGTGCACCAGTGTCAAGGGACAGGCTCCTGAAGTGAGAAGCAAGGCCTAGCACTAACCACCAGCATGTAAGGACTCCAGCTGCTCACAGCATTTCAAGTGCTGATGCACAATAACGAGGTGTTTTCTTCTACTTGCTACCAAAAAGCAAAATAAAAGAGTTTTGACATCAGACTGGGAAGTCCCTTTACAGCAGCGAGAGGCACACACCCACTTGAAGTGATGCTCAAGACTCCCACTGTTTAGGGGAAAAACACCACACTCCATCAGTGTCACGGGGCAGGCTCTCCCTAACTTCAACACTTCAAAAGCCTCAGGAATTTCCCTTCTCGAGGCTGCCACGTCCCCCAGCCTCACCGGCGCACGCCGCTCACCACAGCACGCCTGGATCAGCTCCTCCAGCGCCAGCACCATGCTCTCTGACACCAGCAGCCCGCGCTCAGGGCTGCACTTCACCATGCCAACGGCTGCCAGGACGGCGTCCTCCGGCGTGAAGCTGGGTTCTTCCTTCTTCTGGGGAAAACACCGAGAAAGGCGTGTGAAAGGCCTCGTAGCTGCGGCGCTGGCCG